CTGCGCAGCGCCCGTTAGCACAGGCCTCCTCTTCCGGGCATCCTCACCTCTCTTATCCTCCCCCTCGGTGGTCCTTCTCTGTTCAAGACCCCAAACCTGCGTGACCCCTTCCATCTGCCTCCCATCTGCACCCCAAGCGCTGAGTGCTCCTGGAAGACAGTCACACAGCTGAGCTGGCTGGCTTCGCTTTAATGGCTGTAAACCTCGAATGGCCACACGGCGCTACCAGAGGCTGCTGCTCCGATTCTCTACGGGGCTGGCTTTGCGTTTCTCCTGTTGGCTCTTTCATCTGTGCGACTTTCCCACACCCCTCTTCTGCCCTTTTCATAATTTACTGAGAAAATTGAAGCCGTCAGGCATCAACCCCTCCGCGCTCCACCGACCAGACACATCTCCCTCCAGCTACGCTCACTCCTTCCGCGAGCGGATTCCCTACCCCAGCCCCGCAGCCTGTCGCAGATTGCGATCCTCTGCTGATCTGGCTCCTGAGTCGTCCATCTCCCCTGTTCTGGACTGTTATCACTCGGGGATTAAGCATCTTTAAACATATTTGCAGAATCGGCATTTCCTTCTGCACTCTTCCCCTGCGTCCACCTTACAGGCCCCTCGGGGCTGTTTTATTGAAATGACATTGACCTGCCTTTGCTCCCAAGCGTGTACTTACAGGTCAGTTTGTCCCCATAGCTCCAGGCTGAAAAATTCATCTGCCTACTTGCCATCTCTGTGTAGGTGCCTTCCATGTCCAGTTTAACAGGTTACAAACAACTTTGCAGTCGCCCACACACACCTCAAAGTCTGTCACCCGCCCCGAGGCTTTCTCTGCCAGTGGTGTCGCTTCCACTTAGTCGAAGTCGGAACCTGAGCAGTCATCCACCTTTGCCACCGTCCTCCAATACTGCCTCAGCCAGTCATTAGCACATCCCATCGGTTCTGCCTTCAAACGCTCAGTGGAATCTACCTCTGCCATCGTCCACCATGATGGCAGATGTCATCCTCCCTGCTGCAAAATTGGTCCTATTATCATATCACCCTTTTAGAACCCTTGAAATGGTTTCCCACTACATTTGGTGGTAATATTCAAACTCTATCGTAGCATCTACAAAGGTTCTGCACAATATTCCATTGCTTATCTTTCCAACTCTAAGTTCCCCTCCCCTCATGAAAGAAAAAATTAAGGAAGAAAAAAGGAAGCTCATCTGTACGATTCCCCACGTTACTAAAGAATAAAAACCATATGTAGGGCCAAAAAATAAAATTGCATTTGATAAATTCCAAATCTATCCAATGAAAATAGAAGGCAGCTTCCTCAACCCAATAAACAGTATCTACAAAAACGTGCACCAAACATTTTTAAAAGTAAAACATTGAAAAATTTCCCTCTGAGATTGATAAAGAGCTTTATCCAGCCAGTGCAGTCGATCAAGAAAAGGAAGTGAAAGCTACGTGGCTTGGAAATGAAGATGTAAAACTGCCATTATCCATAGATGATTTGACTGTGAATACGGGAAAAATCCAAAAGAATCTACAGAGAATGTGTTGGAATTAGTATAGTAAGTAAAGTTGCTGGAGACAAGATCAATATATAAAAATCAATTCCATGTCTATACTGGTGGCAAACAAAATTTTGAATTTTAAGTAAATCTGTATTAAATTTCTATGCTGCCATAACAAATTATCACAAATTTTAAAACCACACAAAATCGTCGTGCAGTCCTGTAGGTCAGAAGTCCTGTATGAATTTCACAAAAGATGAATAGGCAGAGCACAGAGGATTTTTAGGGCAGTGAAAGTCCTTTTTGTATGGTATAATGATGGAGACATATCATTATACATTTGTCCAAACCCATGCAATCTACAACACCCAGAGTGAATCCTAGCGTGAAATACAGACTCTGGGTGATTATGATGTATCCATGTAGGTTCATCAATCGTAACAAATGTTATTACTCTGATAGAGGATGTTGATAGTGGGGGAAGCTATGCATATGTGGGGGGCAGGGGAGAATGTCAGAAACCTCTGCACCTTCTCAATTTTGCCGTGAACTTAAAACTGCTCCTAATAAATAGTCCTTCGGGAAAAAAAAGTCAAGGATTCCAATAAGCACATGAAAAGACGTTCTACATCATTAGATATCAAGGAAATACAAGTGAGGGATACTTTTAAGCCCCTGGGATGATTGATACTGAAAAGATTCACAACGGGAAGTGTTATACAAGGTTGTAGAATAAATGGAAGTCTTTTTGTCTGTTTTACGCCTATAGCACCTGGTCTTCCTAGGTGATCTCCCATCCAAGTACTAACAAGGCCTGCCCCTGCTTAGCTTCCATTGGGCTTGTTCGGGGTGGCATGGAAGTCTTAACACCTTGTTATAGGAATGTAAGATGGTCAAATCACTTTGGGAAATGGATTGCAAGCGCTCATAACGTTAAAGACAAACCCACTTGAATCCGGAAATTCCACTCCTGGGTATGTATCCAAGTTTAATGAAAATGTGCATCCGTGAAAGACTTATACAGTGATGTTCATAACAACTTTATTCCTAATAGCAAAAAAGTTAAAACCACCCAATACCCACCAGTAGACGAGTGAAAAAAACCAAATTGTGGTATTTTAACTGTTGTGGTTTTATTCGAGTCTTACAATTGTAACTGTTATTTTATTCTCTTCCTTTTTTTGGTCTTACAGTCTCACGCTCATATTTTAAGTACATAAAAATGCCTTGTTAACGAATGTCTAACTTGTAGATAACAGTTGGCTTGATTGAGAACTCTAGAAACAGACTTCAAAGGGAGCTAGCAGTCCCCAGCCCGTTTGGTGCCCAAGGATTGACTGCCAGATCCTCCCCAGACCTCGGCGTGGCCAGCTCCAGGTGCCTTATCAGAGCGGCTGCGAAGGAGAGTTCATCGTGCTGACTGGTACCCTCAAAGAGGGGCTCCCCACCCCTCCTTAATTCTTTTGTTTTACTTGCCTCCCCTCCGGGCAGCCTGAGAAACAAGCCAAGGCCAGAAGACAAGATAGATGGCCTTGGCCTTCCCCGTCCCTCCAGGATACAGCTCTCTCTCTGGGACTTTGGCAGGGCTCCCTTATCCCTTGCCCAGACCTCTCCCTATAATAACCTCTGCCTGCAATGAAGCGGCAGGACAGCCTTTGTGACAGAAGCCCGCTGTCCTCTCAGGATGCTGGCTCTTGAATAAACCTGCTTTCCTTCTACCAGACTCTTATCCCCTGAGTTACTGGCTTATGGGCGGCAAGCTGCCGAGCCTGAGCTGGGTAACAGTATTATTCATTTAATGATCCCCTACTCCACGATGAAAATGAGTTGCTGATATATGCAACATCTATGAACCTCACACACTTCGCATTGAACAAAAGGCAGACAAGAGTACCTAATGTGTAATTCCATTGATACAGAGTTCTAGAACAATCTAAATGATCTATGGGGACGGAAGTCAGATGAGCAGGGCCTTTGGGTAAGTGTGGTGAAGGGGATTTACTGCAAAGTAGTCTAAGGGCACTTTCTGGAATGAAGAAAATGTTTCCTATCTTGATTGGAGATGGTTATATGAAATTATGGAGTTGTTAAAACTCCGCAAACCATTCACTTAAAATCCAGGTATTTTATTGTACATAACTATATAAATTATATGAAGTTGACAAAATTAATGGAATATGAGGCAAAAATGAGGATGAATAATGATGGAATCAATAGAAATTATTTTAAAAATTCAATAATTCATTAGAAGACATCCATTTCAAATAGAAATAATGAGTAACAGGCTTTTGGATTGTTGATAATCCAAATAATGATGAGCGAATCACATGATCAAACTGGAAAAAGTACTGAAATTTTAACATAAAATACTGACATAAGCTCATAATATGGATTGAAAAATGACAAGATCTATGATAACCTGTGGTAATAAGGTGTCATCGGTTTGAAGTATGTAGGTTCAATCACTACACCAGACACTTTTTGTGCTTTGACATCTTACAGCTCATATGTGGAAAAAAGCTTGATCAGAATTTAATTTGGCAATCCTAAAATTTTACATGACATGATAAAATCATTAATTTGAAACTTTTATGAGCTCGATAAAATTTCATCAACCTTGCTAGAGAAAAGACTGAATTATTTTTAGATTCTCTCTATAAAATGATCTTCAACCTCATTGTCGAGGTAATTAAAGTTTATGAAGCCAAAACATGTAACTTTTACAGAGTTGTGTTTGCACTTTAAATATTTTGTTTTTTTCCCCTTGGATTTTGTTATATCTGTGGGGTTTGTCTATTTTTTAAAAATCGTAGTTTTGCCATTTTACTCCAAATAAATAGTCCCAATTTTTTATTTATAAATTGTATTGCAGTATGTTTAACAACACCCCTTAAGTTGTGTAAGCTTTGGGCTCTACAACTCCTGACTATATTTTGGATCAATCTTGGGACATAATGTTGAGTGTAAAAAGGAATTTTCAGAAAAATACATTTAGTATAATTTTATAAAGTTGAAAAGCATGCAAAATTTAATCTATTGCTTACATAGTAAAACCAAACATGGTAAAAATATGAGGAAAGGCCAACAGAGGGCTCAGAGAAAAGTTGAAATTATGATTTTAGTGGACACTAGGCACTTTTTGCCTTCATGGGCACTTTTGTCCTTAATATCAAAAAATCATATTTTACGACTTGTTATGAAGACAAATATATTGTTAAATTCTAAAAGACTTTTTATCCGAAAATTCCACTTTTCTGATCTTATAGGACGTTAAAACATTTTCATGCGTCCCTAGCCAAACTACCATACCTGATGGAAATGTCCCCTTTGTTCAGTATTCAGGATAATATTCTAATTCTTACACTGTGGTGAATAGTTTGGCATTTTATTATATTCTTTCATATTTACTTAAAAAAACATAGGTAATCAATTCTACAAGGATATACATAAAAACGGTTTTCTCAGAAATAGAAATTCAGGTGAGTTTTGCCACCTTATTTTTCTTCAAAAAAAAAGTTTTTTTCCCCTAATAGCCACCCGGATTTTGTTAAAAGTATTACATAAAAATATTTTTTAAAGGATACACAATTTGTAACGCACTATGGTTTGAAACAGCTTTATGACTTTCTCGTTTGAATATTTAGTTTGAGTAGGGCCTATTTCACAGGGTAGAAAAATCTAGATGGGAGGAGAATAACGGTTTTTGCCCTGTGCGCCAACTGCCAACTCTCGGATTGTTAAATTACCATAACGGTTGTTTAATCACTATAACGGCTTATTTAATTACCATAACGGTCGTCGAGGCTTTCCAGTAAGCCACGCCCCCCACTAGAACGTTCCGGTACTATTTAAGCCTTCGCCCTCGAATTCTTCCTTGGCTTGCTCCTTCTCACTCTTGGGTTAAGGGTCTCCTCGGTAAGCCCACCGCTGACCAACCAGACTGAATCGGCCCATCTCAGTCTCTTCTTTCCTTTACAGCATTGATCAGTATTAGGAATTATTTCTTTTTCTTGTCTTGTCTATTAGATTGAAAGTGGAAAAGCTAGTGGTGATCATCAAAGTCAGTAGTAGGTGTTAAAAAAAAATGAGTAGGCTTTTCGGTGGTGGTTTTTACTGTTACAGTATTTTTCGTTACAATATTTAGTATATCCCTTTTCTAAAATACGAAGTATATATATTCCCAATTACAATACTTAATGTATCCCTTTTCTGTAAAGTATATCTATTCTTCCAATTACATGTTGATTACGTATTATATTTTAGGTCTTTAAGGGAAATCTAAAGGGCAAAAAATATTCCTTTTCAATCCGTAACACACCCTGCTGAAACGCTTGAGGTGTTGAAAACAGAAAGGGACAGGACGGAAAAGGCAGAAGGGTAAGCCCTTAAGTCACCTGGGGCTGGACCCGTCGGGGCTCGCGCGCCCCTCCACCCGCAAGTGGAACTCCTGGGCGGGGCCGCCCACCAACGCGCGGACGCTTCTGATTGGTCGGGCCCGGCGGCCGGAAATGACGCAAGCCAGGCGCCTCGGCCTCCCGTCCCGCCCCTCGCCGCACCAAAACAAGAAAGTGGCGGCTGGGGCGGTGCCGGCGGCCGGCGGACGGCGCGCAGGGGGCGGGGCCGTGGCTCTGGGTTGGGTAGCGGGGTGCGGAGCTGCACTTCCGCTCTCGGCCGACTGTTTCGCGGAGGCATGGAGGCGGGCTCCGGCCGACGCGAGGTCAAGCTGGGTGAGGAGCGCGGCGGGCTCGAGGTCGCAGGCCGGGGGGCGGCCGCGCGCGCGGGGTCGCATCGAGTAA